TTTATCAGTGTCTAAAATAAACACCTCTGACACTTCTCCCTCTCTACTAATGGGCCTTGTGTTGTCCATAGTTTTTTATATGTGTACTAATTCGTCACCCCGGCTTCCCACCCTCCATGGAGCCCGCACCTTTGGGAACGCCCTACTTTATTAAAAGAATTTCAGGCGTTAAAATTACCGGGGGGAATATAGGGACGCAGAGTTGGCTCACAGCGCGACATCGGGAGCTCGATCCAGCTGGCAGATAGGGCTGAAAAGGCCCATCCCCACTGCCCGAGTTGACTTTCACTTGCCCCGTCAGCATGGCCTTTTCAGGGAGACTAGACAGCCCCCACATCCTTCGCCTGCGACTCTGACGGGACGCTTGGCCATTTCCTTATCTGTGGCTGAATTAGAAATGCGTTATTTACATTTATTCATGCCTAACTTTTCGCCCCGCGGTGTTTACACCCGTGTCCACGTTATAGCGTCTAGACAGTCAATACCTGCTTATTAGATCGCATAATGGCGGCTCTACACGTTGGCCAACATAGTGGCGAAGATATTGGCCAAGAGTTTGTGTCGGCATCCACGTTGAAAGGTCGTTCAGTTTACTTCGGTTCAGGCCAATGTGCGGACAAATTCACGACGGCTTCGTGGCGCAGTGGCTTAGTAATGAGTGGCTGCGCCGGGGGCCGCGGGTTTGAATCCCGCACGATACAAGTGTTTGTATGTCCTACAAATAATTGTTCCGGGTCTGGATGTGTGCAATTTATGTTTGTATAGTGGCTCCGCGATACAGGAGAAAATCCTAGTGTGGGGTTAACATTTTTATAAAAGAATGGTGAATATTAATGGGGGTCTGTAAATAGATATAGGTACGAAACGTATGAAGTGCATATTGTTAGCCGTCAGGCTGATATTTGGTTTTACGTAGGTACCTAATAAGAAGTACTTTATTTCAGCCATGTAATATAGATCAGGGCTGTTATAAACGGGAATTGAACTTATTTATTTTTTTTTTTTGCCCCCTGTGGGGGTTGTGTCATTTTTTCCAAATTTTTTCGGTTGGTGAGGTTTAGCTTTATTTATTCCTTACATGCATCATAAACTGGAATAAATACCATTAATTAGAACTTATTTTAAACCTTAATAGGGCATGGTATCAAAAGTATATGGATTTTTGTAATTTTTTGAATTTGGGTTCCTATAAATGTATAAAATAAAGTTATAAAAATAAAAAATTTATATTTAATTTTCTTATTGGAAAAATCATGTGGTCACTATAAGAACATTGCCCGTTTAGTAAAAAATATGTGAACTATATGACTATTGCTCATTTGGAAACTCATAGAAACTCAAAACTCATTGTTAGTTTGTAGAAAATTGTATTAAAACTACAGAAAACAATTTAGTATTTATCAAATTATATTATTTTCAGTACTGGTTTACATGAAAAATTTCAAAACAAGGAACACATATAGGAACAAGGCATATTTTGCACATAATATTTGTGCGGCGCTGCTCGCGTCTTGTGCTACAAAATTTGCACCGCCTTCTTTTACCTTTGCAGAGCATGTACAACCCCACATTAGCTAACCTCACTTCATCCGGCACTCCAAATACACCTCCATTCTTGTTTTTATAAGTGATTGGTTGTAGACTGGTGGTACTAAAATTATTTATAAGCCCTCTGCCAAGTCGCTCTAAAATCTATGTGACTGTTGTTTGTTTTCTTATGTGTCAGCCGGTAACATATATACGCATTAATAGTAGAGGTCTCCAGCATGAACCAAAACAAGCGGAACCAGTTTCGTCTGGACTTCCTTCCGATCGAATAAGACGACCTGAAATGATCAAGGCGATCGACTCCGCCCATATTTTTTGTGTATTCTGCTACTGCAACTGGGCAAACTAGAGGTTTTTTTGTCCCGTTCTTTTGTCTCCGCATGATGGTTACGATTTCCTGTGGCTGTGTTTGCTATGAAAACGTCTTTGGTGTCTCGCCGCTTGATAACCGAAATAGGTTTATTATATTTAACCATAAATTCACCGACTTCCAGTTTTGCTTCTTTGTTGGCTCTTTGGCCTTTATTTGGCAGAATAGCTTGCGGTAGATCTTTTCGGTTTGTTCTTATGGTGCCAACAGAATAAATATTCCGTTGGTGAAGTGTTTCGACTAGGGGCAAACTTGTAAAAAATTGTCAAATACCACGAGAGAACCGGCGGGTACATGTGTGCATAATTTTGTCACGACATTGAATCCTAATCCACCATCGTCTTCCTGTGATACGCTAGATTTTCCACTTTCCACAATATACAGTATGTAACAAAAACCCTGTTGGTCGTTTCAGGGACGTATAGGTGTACACATAGGCATGGCAATTATGATAATGAATATATTTTTTGGTTGCTTTAAGTGGGGGTTTTGGGGTTCTAATAAGATAACTTAAGACATATTAAATTTCTAAAAATGTTACTTGCTTCTGAACTTACCGACACGTGCCGACATAATATTATAAACGTCACAATAAATAATAGTCTACGGCCGATATGAGGTCACTGACATGGCCGACTCAAAGCAAGCCGCTAAGCGGCGCGTGCTTCCCCAAGGTTTTTGTGTAAATCTTTATACCTATCTAGACTCAGTTATTCTCCGAAAATTTTAATTTCAAAATAATAGAAATTATAATGAAATGGATATTATTTCAACCCCAATACATATAGTATTTGAATACTTATGTTATTTTACCACTTTATTGCTAAATAGATCTACGAAAATATTTAAAAAGGTTATTTCATGCATAAAATATCGTGATTAATTCCAAATTTGCTATTTTGTAGGAGAAATTTAGTATGTATTTTTCATATGAAATATTATTCGATAAAGAATATGTAGTAGGTAGTAATTATTTTTTTAATAAATTCATATTGCCGTTTATTGCTAGAATATAATAAACATAACAAAATTAATAGGTAATATACGCAGCGTTTTGCGCGCTCTTTGAACTCAAAAGCGAAAGCCGACGAAGGACTTAGGTACTAGGAAAAACCCAAAAAACTCCACTCTTCGAGTGATTAAAAGTAACGTCCACTTTATGTCGATTAATTAATTTTGATCCAATGTCTATTATTTATTCTGTGCTAATATTTAGTAGTAATATTTAAAACATGGGAAGTTTTATGAACATAAAATTTTGTCACAATTCAGTGATCAAGAATAAAAATAAGGGTTGTTTATCGTCGGTCGATAAAACATATAAGCCGGCGTAGCAAATGTGTGACAGGAGGATATATTGAACAATATCTTCGTGGTCGTCGTATCTATTATTTATTCTGTGCTAATAATATTTAAAAACATGTGAAGTTTTATAAACATAAAATTTTGTCACAATTCAGTGGTCAAGAATAGAAATATAAATAAGTATTGTTTATCCTCGGTCGATAAAAAAATGCTAATTATTAGATTTTGAAAAACACAGCAGCATAATAGTTCAAGTATTTGTTATTGTGTGGATTTATAACACAATTTTTTAATTGTTTCTTTTTATAAAAGGGTTATAATGTATTTTTACTAATCCTAGCTATAATTTAATTTCTTAATAACACTTATGGACGCTGTCTGAAGTAAATAAATAAATAATAACTATTATTAAAAAAATAACGTAAAAAATCACGAAATTTTTATCGATTTAGAAAATATCAAAATTATGTTATAGAGTACAATAGCTTTGCCACGTCAATGCAAACAAACAAGCATCAAGCACCAGTAGCGCGTTAGCACTGATATTGACGGTTGTTTTTATATTGCGAAATTAATATTCCGCCGTGAGTGACTTGTGTGCGATGTCTTACTCAAACGAGGAATATTTTAATATTGATGTCCTCGGATGTTTGAGTATGCAGACACGAACTAGTGAATTTCCGTCGGCGATGACGTTCCAACAACTTCACATTCGTATGTACAATACTGGCAGTGTGCATGGCCGTGATCAACAACGTACAGATTCAGGAAGACCGAGGATGTACGACGACGACATTGAGGAGCACATTCTCGACATGTTTGAGGAAGATGCGACGCGGAGCACGCGCTCGGTGGCACGGGAACTAGGTGTGAACCATATGCGCGTTTGGAGAGCCCTCAAAGATGATGGCCAGCACCCGTATCATTATCGTCGAGTTCAGTGTCTTCTTCCCAACGACTACGAGCCGAGAATGGATTACTGTAGATGGTTACTTGATAAGTAAGGAGATCCTGAGTTTTTGAACCGCGTGCTTTTTACGGATGAATGCTCTTTTGTAAGAACAGGTGTATTTAACGCTCATAATGAACACGTATGGTCAACGACAAATCCGCATTCGTATAAACCAAGCCACTTTCAACACCGATGGAAAATCAATGTGTGGGCGGGAATTATAGGTGACAAAATTATTGGTTAAAACTTTGGGATGTGCTGGTAAGAAGGTTTTTGGATTATTTGAGTTTCACACCTTTAGATTTTTATCTCTGGGGTACGATTAAGCAGACTGTATTCCAAAAAACATGCGATTCCAAGGCAGAAATGCGTATGCGTATAGTCGCAGCCTTTGAAAAAATAAAGTCCGAAATGTCTGTTATGCAACGCGTGCGTTCAGACATTACAAGTCGGTGTCACAAATGTATAGAGGTACAAGGTGGACATATTGAACAACATCTTCGTGGTCGTCAAGTAGAAATAGTGATAAATTAGTGTTTGACTATAACAGCTTGTGATGTGACGAGGTCACGACCTCAGTGTGCAGTTGTTGTGGGTAAGACGCGCGCGAGCGCGCCCCGTCTTTTATGTACCTCACCGCCGGCCGCCAACCCCCGCTATCGATAATTCCAGGCAGAGGTAATCAATCCACATAAAATTTACAAATATTATTTAATTAAAATTTGATTTGATTATTTTTATGTCGAGTTTTCTGAAGTAAAGTTATTTCTATACGTTTGAATACTGATTCTGATAACGCACTTAACGGGAACCACAGGGTTTTTGTTACATATTGTATATCAAACTGATACAAATATCCAGTTTCAGCATCACATCTAGCCCATATCTTGTATCCCCGTTTAATGGGTTTTTGTGGCATGTACTGTTCTTCATGGTGCTTCTACCTTTAAACTTCACCATGCTTTCATCTATAGAATGACTGCTGCTTGGGTTGCAGTTCTCTAAAAAAGTTCCATTTAAGACGTTCATCACTTCTCTCACTTTGCAAAGTTTGTCATAATTGGGGAATTCAGCTATGGTGGAAAATATGTGGTTCGGAAACATGTCCAAAAAGTAATCCAGTGGTAAACTTCTATTGTTGTACTCCTTTGTGGTCTGTAACTTTTTATCAAAAGATTTTTGTGAAATATTTGGTACCTCTCCTGACCAGTTTCTCGTTTTCGTCATCAATTCTCGCAATGTTTCTTGGTGAACTGACGGTGTTACCTCTCTCGCTAGAGAGGTAACAGCCCGTGGCGGCGTTGGCTCTCTGGCAGGTGGTGTCGTCTCTCTGGCGGGTGACGTCGTCTCTCTGGCGGGTGACGTCGTCTCTCTGGCAGGCGGCGTTGCCTCTCTGACAGGTGGTGTCACCTGTGTGGCTGGCGGCGGTGCTTCTCCGGTAGCAGGCGTCGTCACTCTGACAGGCGGTGTCACCTCTCTGATAAGCGGCGTCGTCAATCTAGCAGGCGGTGTCACCTCTCTGATAAGCGGCGTCTTGACTCTGGCAGGCGATGTCACCTCTCTACTAGGCGGTGTCAGCTCTCTGAAAAGCGACGTCGTCACTCTCGCACGCGGTGTCACCTCTCTGATAAGCGGCGTCATCACTATAGCAGGTGGTGTCACCTCTCTAGTAGGCGGCGTCGTCACTCTGGCAGGCGGCGGCGGCGAAGCAGCTCTGGCTAGTGGTGGCAGTGTCACATTCCTCGTTTGTGGGTTTGTATATGATGACGCCATTTTTCTTGGTAATTTTATAGCTGCAAGAGAAAAAAATCTCACAGTAGGTATTATAGTAATCCCTACTAATAATATAAATGCGAAAGTGAATATGTATGACAATACTTTTAAAAAAATTTGGTATCCTATCTCACTCGGAATGACAAACTTAGGTGTCCTAACATTACCACAGAATAAAAACTGTAAAAAAAGCTGTAACATGTAGGTACACTTACTTGTAATTTGTTCACAAGGATGTGACTTAGACTCAGACCGTTTCCTTGGACCAGCTGTGTGACCTATGTATAAGATATAAAAATATCTATAAATAATAATGATCAACTAACTAGAATAATAATCACATTTTGAAGTAATAAATAAACTCACTTTTTAAACCGATTCCACAGTCTTTATTACTGCTGATGTTCTTTTGAGTCTTTTTCAATTTAGGTACTTGATTCCGGTGCAGCAATATTGCTGGATGGTGCAAACATAGATCTGTTACCTGTAAAACCAAATGACAATATCCACACTTGAGCTAGAAAAATACTTATGTAAGTTACGTATGCCTAACGAGTAACTGTGTTTCTAATTACACTCTGAAAAACTATGAAGCAGCTGTAAAATTTAATAATCAAGTACCTACTTAGTTGAATTAGATTCTAAAACGCTCTTCAGCTCTTCCAATGAAAAACGATCTGCACAATCTTCAACTTTATCTAAAGGCTTGTTGATATCAAAGTCTGGATATGGATCATCCCTACATCCGAGTACTTCGTCCTCATCATCATCTTCTGATGACTCTGACTGCATTGCAGCCAGGGTTCGTGCAATATCATCATCTTTCAGTAGTTTCTTAGGCCTCTGGAGTAAGAACAAAATAGGTAAAAATACAAGAAAACCACATTTTTTTAATAAGCTTTGGACGAAATATGTACCACATACTTTGCACTCATATAGTTCTAGAATCACACTCTCAATACTAAAACTATTTTTTCGACATTTTTTTCACAAAAAGCACCTCACAAACGCGCGAAAATAATCGGAATTTTTTTTAAACGGGACCGTTCAAAATTTTTCATTTCCGTTCGGATACACGCGATTGATGATTAATTTTGTAGAATCATTCACTCATTCGCATAAAATGACATTTTGTGGTAAATTTATGTACATTAAATAACATTTGAAGCTTTGAGTATTAAGTTTATTCAAAACCCCATAATGCATGTGGTACATTCTGATACCATGGCCCTATTAAGGGTTAAAGTTATAGGAGTTATAATCGATTCGTCTATGTTTTAAAATTGGGTTTTGATTTTAAAGTTTAGCAAAAGATGTACTTGCTTTTCTATCAGACATTCGATGTATATAGAAAACACCTTATAATTTATTTGGTAATTTAATTATTTTATGAGAAAGACAAAAACAAGCAATAATATAATTAACCCTGACTTAATAATAGGTACCTACTAATTATAACTTAAAACACAAATGAAAAATTCATGACAAGGAAAGTGGCTCAGGACCATGCTTTGCGGCAGTCTATGGAGGATGATGATTCGAAAACTTGCACGATTAAATTATAAGAAATCGACGTTTTTTCGACAAACGAGCACACAGTCCACCTGATGGTAAGTGGTTGCTGTGGCCCACAGACATCTACATCTATCCTCGATTACGAATCAAAATGCAGATGCTTTGTCACCCGTGTTTTTTTTTCGTGAGGACTAAGATGGAATGCCTCATTTCCAGTAAAAAGGGTCTCCGGTTCTCTACACTCACCATACGAAACGCAGCAGCATTAAGCTACCATTTTACGCTGGTATTCTGTGAGAGCGTGGTCCTTCCCCGGTCGAGCCGACCCTTTCGTGCTACGGCTATACTTCTAATATAACTGCAGCATGGCTCTACCACGTATATTTCTTTTTTTTATAGAATATGTGCGGCAAATGAGCATACAGTTCACCTAATGGTAAGTGGATGCTGTGGCTCATAGATATCTACATTTGTCTTCGATTGAGAATCAAAATGCATATGCGTAGTCACCCTTGAGAACTAAGATAGAATGCCTAGTTTCCAGTTAAAAGGATCTCCGGATCTCTACACTCACCATACGAAACACAGCAGTATTAAGCTGCTATTTAGCGCAGGTACTCTGTGAGAGCGTGGTTCTACCACGGTCGCGCCAACCCGTTCGTGCTACAACTAATACATCTGCAGCGTGGCTCTACCATGTATAAGTTTCTGGGTGCACATGTATTTCTAGGCGGAAAAAAACCACGAAGCGTAGCGAAGCTCAGCTCTCACCACAGCCTTCTAACCTATCAAAACTATAAGGATTTCTGGGTGCTCAAGTATTTTTGGGCAGTTTCAACGGCACGCAGAAAGCAATTCAGACATAAAACAACGGTACAATTATAATTACTTCATTGTTTTTAAACATAATTTATTAATTCCTCAAAAGGATCTCTTTTATCAGTCATAAATATTCGTATTATATGAATTCGGTAAATTTTTCTCTATTACTATATTTGTTTTTATCAAAATACCTCTTGACAACACGCCACTGAGACTCAATTTTTGAGTGTGTGTGCCATCTGCCGTCACAAAAAGGCTTTTCTGAGTCACTATGATTGAACTTTATAATTTTCTAAACCATCAAAAATCGGTATGAATGATGTTGCCTACATGCCTCTGCCTCACATGCTTTTGTATCAACGGCACCAAAACTTCAGCAAATCGCATATTTTTTATTCCAGTCTTAAGTCTTCACTATCATTTTTGATCATGCCCAGCATCCAAAGAATCATTGCCAATTTCAACATTGTCAAACATTTGTCGATATCATCTCCAGGTCGTCAACTATATCCATTTATTTACCCATAGCTCACCATTATTATATTTTCTTATTCCAAATTTACTTTCATCAATTTGGAATCCCAGACCACCAATCTTTCCCATGAAACCTCCTGACTGTAATTGAACCAACCATTAACGGTTGCTCTGGATAAACTGTTCTTTTTCAGAATAATCTTCTTCTTTCTTCTATCATAAATCCACTTCTTTACATATGCATACATTACGAAGAATAATAATAATGTCCTCCAGACCGAATTTCGGCCACGGCGGCCTGCCTCATCGGAGGCTAGGCAACGGCGTAGGACAGGATTATAGTGCCCAAGTGTATGCGCAAGCACAGGTGAACTCTTTATTCCCTCACTCTCATTGTAGTATAGGAAAAGTGTCAATGAAAGAGACGTGTGGTTGGTACTAAAACTTTAATTATACTGCTCCATTATTCTACCTTAACACTAAAGTATATTAACGTGGGAGCACTACACTACACCTCCCACCGACAAAAAAATAAAAAAAATATGCTATCCATATTTTTTTTTTATCAACTCTTAAAATAGATCTTTAAGATTATTCTAAAAAAGGTTAATATCATTATGAAAACTATAAGCTAAGACATATCTAACACGCAAAAATGCATAGTCACAGTAGTATAATTGACATAATCAGGCATAATTATGTATAACATAAAATTATATTTGGCTAAGCTTTCCATTGACGTCCGTCGAGATGGGGGTTGATATTTTTTTTACAGAAGGATGACATTAATATAAACACACACGCAAAGTTTTAACATGCGGAAACGCGTAGTTTTTTGAGAAAAAAATTATCGAAAAGCAATAATTTTTGCAATATTTATGTCAAATCCTACCATAGATTATATCGTATTACAGATATATCACGACATTGAATGTTCCGTTTTAAGTACGGTTAACTTGTCATATGTTGGGTAACATTTCATTTTATATAAATTTACGTAAATAATTATATTTTGTATCCATTTTGATAGTTTTCATGCGTGCATATATATTTAACAGTTTATATTTAACTAAATAACAATTATTTTCATTACGAGCTATTAAAATTAAAATGTGCAGTGTTTACGGTCTTTTCCCGGCTTGTGGAACGAAACGTAAAACTGACGCTATTTTGTGTTGTCAGTGTCATCCTCAGTCACTGTCATCGTTTGTGTTCCTGTCGTGAAAACAACGTTTGACTACCATCATGGCGTCTCCGAAGCCCCAAGTTTCGTGTTCTGCTGTGCCGTCTGAAGAATTCAGTGTAGTGCAAGTGTTAGACTCTAATGAGCCACTTGTTGCGAGCTCCTCTTCAGGCCCCCCCGTGTGGTGAAGTGCCGTCTGTAGAATTGAGTGTAGTGAAAGTGTTGGACTCTGATGAGCCACTTGTCACGAGCTCTTCTGCAGGCGCCCCCTGTGTGCAAGTGTTGGACTCTAGTGAGCCACTTGTGCCCATGACTGCGCTATCGAAATCAATAGTAGGTAGTTCCCGCGCCACTGTTCCCAGTACCGTGTCGGTACTGCCGCCTGCGTCTCCAACGTCGTCTGAGAGCAGCGTGGCTGATGCGGAACCTCAAGCTCCTGGTTCGTCTGGCCGAAGAGTCCACTACTATGCCGAGGAAATAAGGTTGGTTCACTGCTAAATATCGCAAAGATCCTTTCTTACAAATAGTGGCAGCCATAAATTATGTTTATAAATTAAAGTAGTTATAAAAGTTAATATTTTGGTGTTATATTGGGTGCAATAGTGAGCGAAGCGAGTCTAGGACGTGGGGCACCCCGACTCGGACAGGTTAAGTTAGAAGGGGATGACGGGGTCGAGTGAGTGAGCGAAGCGAGCGAATAGACCCTGTCATCCCTTTCGTGGTTATTTATTTGTAAACCACTCAGAAGCAGGAGCCCCGAAGCGGGGCTCCGTCGACTGGGCTTCCCTCTACTGCACCTCGTTAAGTGGCGTGGGGCTTCCGTCCCCTAACTCTCTCTCCCCATAAATCAGGTTAAATTGTCATAAAAATTACGAAACATAACCTCAAAATGAGATTTTTAAAAATTTATAAAAAAAAACTAAGCACGTCCGGCAGGAAGGGGATGTAGGGGGTGACTCTACAACTCTTCTCCCTCGCCCCACACCACCCCCTAATTCAGGCGACCGAATTGTAAACCTTACCCGTGGTTTCTTATATAGCACATAATATGTAAACTTCACAGAAAAAGCTGACGAGTAAAGCAGTAATTAGATTTCTAATAGGAATATTTTTGTTTGTTTTAGGTGCCACTGAAACATGTATAAAATCATAACCCGGCTCAACACCCCAGTTCAGTGCATTGCATTTGCTGAAGAGCATAGGCTCCTTCCTACAGAAAAAATGTGCTCATATCATAGGAGACCTATGGCGTTAAGCTCCAGCAGTAAGACTGGTCAGCTTGGCATATTTCGATGCAGGAAGAGTAACTGTCGCTCTAAGGCAGTGAGTCGGGCAGCGGGAACATGGTTCGAGAATGCGCGGCTGTCCATTGAGTTACAATTTTTACTGATGTATATGTTCAGCCAAAAATATAGTTATCATCAAGTTAAATTAGAGACAGCCCGTGAAGATAAAGAAACAATTTTATCAACAAGGACAATAACTGACTGGTTTTCTTACTGCCGAGAGACAGTAGTAGTTTATGAATTGGAGCACCAAGAAGTTAATGGCAAGATTGGTGGTCCAGGCAAAATCGTGCAAATAGACGAATCAAAATTTGGAAAACGCAAGTACAACAGAGGGAGACACATTGAAGGCCATTGGGTGCTGGGCATGATAGAAAATGGGAAAGACGATTTGAGATTAGAAGTGTGTCCCGACAATGATAGATCTTCAGAAATGTTGGTGCCACTAATACAAAAGCATGTGGAGGTAGGCACTGAAATCCATACCGATTTTTGGAGAGCCTACGATTGCCTACCTCAATATGGATATATACATAAAAAAGTTAATCACAGCGACCCTATAAATAAATTTGTGGCACCAGATGGGACACACACACAACGAATAGAAAGCCACTGGTGAAATTTAAAAGTGATGTTCGGTAGAGAAAGTTATAAAACAAACTTTACAGACTGGCTAATTGAATATTCTTGGCGAAGAAAAATAAAAATAGCACATAAAGATGTTTTCATAGAATTAATTAAAGCAATACAATATGTATATAAAATTGATTAATAAATTATGAATTTTGTTGCATTTATTTTAAAAGTAAGTAAATAAAATAGATTAGGTTTAACTTATGTCGAAGAACCGAATTGGTTGACCCCGACTCCACTTGGTACAAGTCTGTCCTACCCCTAGAGTGTTATTATATAGCCGGAGGCGCGTAGGGAGAGCAGCCTCCGCCTGCTGTAACAAATCGTAGGCATCGGACGAGCCGGAGCGGCTGAGGCTGGTCGCCGAAGGCGACCAACAGGCCGAAGCTGCGAAGGCGAGGATGGATGCCTGCGATTTGTTACGCAAAGGCGAAGAGGCTGCTCTTCCCGCAGCGCCGTAGACATTGCAGTCTCAAAATAGACACAGAAATCCCTCTCAATCAGTCCCCCTATTTTTTTTCTGATGAAAGGGGTTCCCCCTTCCGTAGGGGGGAACCCCCCTCCCCCAAGGTGTCCTCCTGGTTTTTTACACTTAATATTAATCCATAAAATGAGGAAAATTTTCTCAGAATTAAAAATTAAAAAACTCGAAAAGGGCCCCCCCCCCTTTTCGAGTTTTTTAATTTTCTCCGCAACTTTTTCCTTTTAAGGGGGGGGGGGTATTAAACCTCCCCCCCCCCCTCCCTCCCCGTCCCCCCTCAATTCGATGGACGTCAATGGAAAGTCGTACCCTTTCAATTTAATCATATTTTAAATACAGAAAATTTAATGCGTAACTTTTTTTAAAAGCAAAAACAACATTAAAAAAAATCTCAAATTATTAAAGTTTTAAATGGAATTAAAAATCACACAGGTGCGAATTTACCTCTCAAATTCTTCTTTATTCTTTTCGGCTCAATTTTCACATCCTTCTGGGTGATGCCCGCTAGAATACAACTACTTCTTTCCCTTTTCAATCGTGGAACGAATATCTAGCATGTTATTGATATTTGGTTTGTGATTGCGCGTCCAATGGGCTTTCCACCTATCACTTGTTTCACAAATTTCCATTTATAACTATATTTTTGGGCTAAGCGTATAGTGTTCTGTGCTAAGCGTGGTCCGAGTGCCTTGACGTAATGTATGTAATGTCCTCCAGATCCAGACCGAATTTCAGTCACGGCGGCTTATTTATTATTGTCAAATCCGGTATTGCATCCATTCCGTATATAATTTTTTTTTATCTTCATTATTTAATCATTGAGCTATTTATTATGTACTACGTACTAGAGGCGACACTGCATTCAGCTACTCCGTTCCACTCAACAGTGTTGCCAACAGCGCTGGCCCTAATGTCGCCGATTCTCATGCATGAAGTAGCCTAATATCGCCGCATTTCAACTGTAGTAGCCTAAAGTAGCCCAAACAAGAAAATATCAATATGAATAAAATAAAATATGGTTTTTATTCATATGTTCATAACACACTGATATAGGCATAAGCCATCTTTAGAACACGTTAATGAAATTAAAGTTAACGTTTTAAAAACTACATAAACAAATAAACAAAAATTAGGATTATTCTGATTCGTCCTCTGCTAGCAATAATAAGGCATCACCAAGACTTTCGCCGTCTTCAGTAGTAGTCGATGTGCTAGTACTGGTGCAAGATTCACCGGAGAAATATATTTTTCTGCCAGCGTGCAAACTCACCATGTGATTGTTTGGTTGAAAGTTGTTACAACACAAGCCTCTTACATTCATATGGGTAAGAATCCTAAGAATTGCGATCAGCATGGGTAGTTGCATGCGATTCCTTAATTTTGTTTTGATTGTCCCCATTACGCTGAAAATTCTTTCAACGACGGCATTACTCAAAGGTAATGAAAGGCATCGTATCGAAAAACTGCTAATTCTTTAAACATCAGGCTTCCACCAGCATTTTTCATTTTTAGCACTTGTATCCAAAAATTTACAATGTCATTAGGAGAAGCAGCTGTTCCGATTATCTCCTCAATGCGCATAGTGCTTAATACGCGCCATTGGTTCATAACAGCTTCTCGGTCAATATTGGGATCACCTAACTACCAGGGAAAATCTTTAATGTTGGGTTTGCCGGTTGAGAGGCATACGCGGCTTGGTGCAAACAGTTCAATTTTTTCCACCACCGACACATTAAGCGGTAACCTGTCAACTAATTCTCTTACTAAGCGTACAAGAAAAGCAGAACATCGTTGCTTCACTTCTTTGGCTTTGTCGGCAGAAACAGTCTTTTTTGCAAGTAAATCATTGAACTTTTCTCCAAAGTCGATTGAGTCCAGTGGAAGCAGTGAATTTTCAAATGGAGCTCCGGCTTTTTCTAATGCTCGCCTAACAGCTGCAATATCTGCTTCATGGAGCATTGATACAGAGGCATTTTCAGACAGACTTTGACTTCTCAGAAATATTGGTTTGAAAACACGTCATGCAATGGAAAGTAAAAGAATCCGAAAATCGCTATATATTTTTGTGATATTTGCATCATTTGCTTGAAATATAATATTCACATTTGTTACTTCTTTTAATATCGGAGACAAAAACAACAAATATAATAAATTTGTATCATCATTATACATGGCAGCAAGCTCCCTTGCTGTATAACATCTTTCTGATGATTTCACCACATTAAAGTGAGTTTTTAGCTCAAGCCACTGATTGATGTTTGTTTTAACAGCTGAATGAAACGCCAGCCATCTAGTTGCGGATAGCTGAGTTAGTTTCAAGGGTTTTTTACCATCATTAATGGTTTCAAATAAGGTCATTCGCAGTGGACTGTGGGCAAACCAATTTCTGGTTTCCCTAAGTAAATATTCCAGACGAGACGGTAATTCCATGCACGCTTTGGAGGCACATAAACTAAGGGAGTGACACACACATTTCAATAGCTGTAAATGGGGTATATCTGCTTGTAAGAGAGTGAAAAGGGAGACTATGATTGCCACAAAGGTTACTTGCTCCATCAGTTCCTATTGCAATTAGATTTTGAAGATTCAAACCCATTTTAGACATAAAACTCTTAAATGATGTATATAGGCCGCTAGCTGTTGCTTCAAATACTTCTTGAAAGCCTAAAAAATCAACAACTATTTTTTCTAGTTTTGAATTATAGTATCGGATGCAATATGCCATGAACTTTTCTGTTGTTACGTCAGTGGATTCATCCAGTATAATAGAGTAGCTCTGGTTACCAACTTCTTCTAAAAGTTCCTTGAGCATGACTGGTTCTAGAACATTTTTTATAATGGCCGAACACTTTGATCTATGTAATTGAATGTTTTCAAGAGGACTCCCTGTCCCACAGGTTTTTAACACATCTGTCAGATGATCAATGCTGCGTATGGAGCTATGAGCAGCGACATAGGCAGATATTTGTATGTCTATTATTTTTTCTTTTGATGAATTGTTACTAAATGAGGAGTAGCCAAACGATGCAAGCTTGGGTTGCTTTTTAGACAAAACTTAATTCTTTGTCTTTATGCGTTTTAGTTTTCATGTGCTTTTCTAAATCCGTTTTGTGCGCACGGAGGGGTGTGATACATAATTTATAAATTGCCTCACCTTTACTACTATCCGTCAGTACAACAGGTGCTCGACTAAGCCAATCTGTAAAAGAAATTGAACTCAGTAATACACTAGGCAGTAGGTATGCATATATTGTATGTACCAGATAGGTATGGTACTAGTGGTTGATAATCAGATCATATTTCTTGCTATTTGTGCAGTTTCAGTCTACCTAATACATCTTAAATAGTCTGGGTAAATATTAAAAAATGATTGTGAAACCAAAAACCACGACTCCTAATTTAGTCTGGAACACAGGTCTGGAAGAAGTAAGACCATGTAACAGATAATATACCTACCTACATCAAACAAAACATTAATATAAAACGGTACTTTAGTTTTTACTTACTTTTAAATGCTGGTAGTTTTCCCATTCATCACGATAATGCTTGATATATTTACCATGTTTACCCATTTTACAAAACAAGCGCAAGAGAAGTTTTACAAAGCCAAAGTGACCAAGGAATAACCGGAATTTATCTGAACTATTTAGTCAGTACAACACAGATAATTGCGGTAGTCATTATTCATAATAGAATACATGTAAACCTATTGCATTCAATTAAATTTGGTTACATAATAGCTAAGACAAATTCGGGGTATTCCCCAAAAATAACCAATCACAAACAAATAGGGTGACCATCTTAATATCAAATTGTACCAACATTACACACACGCACGGCCGTATGCCTGTTTACATACTAGGTAGTATAAAAAAAAACTTGTCCCTAGAGTAGCCTAATTGGCGACCAGTCGCCTTTTAGATTTTTTCGTCGTCGATTCTCGTTCTGAGTAGCCTAAATGGCGAAAAATCGCCTACGTTGGCAACACTGCCACTCAACTGCGGTGCATACACTGCACTTTATTCAGTCATCAGTCACAACTTCACAAGTATAGTCAGTAATCTATGATCAGTCACTCGCTAGGCGCTTGTCACGTATTGTGTTGATTTAAAAAAAATCTTGATAAAAATATGCTGTCGTGTGTACTTAGATATTGCACAAATAATTCAAGAAATGTCAGTAAAAAACCAAGGAATTACTTTTCATCGGTTAATAAGATACTTGATCAATATAAAAGTATTAAAGATTAATAATAAAACAAATTATTCCTAAGACGCCATCTCGTGTCATGGATATAGATTATGAAATTAATATGTTCAGATGCGACATTTCTGTGGGTACTTAAGTATAGGACGAATATATTATTATACACATTTTTTTTTGTAGAAACATGTATAAGTTATTATAATTAGGTTAAATTTTTCATGTTTAAATCTGATTATTATTCTTTTATTATATTTTTAGGTTTCCACATCAAAGTTAAATTGGAATAAATTCTATTTAAATCTATTTTTAACTTTCGCGTGCCCAGCATTTATGAACGACTCTTATTCTAATTTAAATAAATATATTTGTAGATAATTTAAATGTTATGTTAATAAGTTTTGTTATCATACATTTAGTACGTTTTTTAACATATGACATAGATACCTTTTAAAATATTAAGATAAAAATATCATTAAAATGTAATTGTGATATAATATTATGTAATTTTATATTAAATAAGCAAATAATATACAAAATAAATGACAAAATTTAAATATTGTTCTGGATATAATTTACCTATTTAACAATACAATCTACTATGACCTACGGATCATTCTACCTGTGTTTATTCTATGATAAAAAATTACCGCGTGAACACAGAGTAGCGCACATTTTTTGTTTGAGATAGCTGTTCTAGTACGTAAGTACATATTACTTCAATGTATTTAATTAAGTATTTTTTTTCACCTTTCAACTTGGCCCGGCGGTGCGCATGCATTGTTGCAGCGCACCGCCTGGCAGGGTCGCCATGTAAGGGTCGTCATGTACTTTTAGGAAATGTGTCAATGAAGGAGACGTATGGTTGGTACTAAAACTTTAATTAGACTGCTCCATTATTCTACCTTAACACTAAAGTATATTAACGTGGGAGCACTACACTACATCATAATCCGATGGGACGGTAAACCGACACGACCAGAGAGAGATCAGGCGCAGGGCCAACGGCTTTACGTGCTTTCCGAGGCACGGGGGTGAGACACCGTCAACTTCTTGACTCCGGGCAGCTACTGAGAATTTCTTGACAGAAAAACTCAATAACCGAACCGAACCCGGGATTCAAACCCAGGACCTTATGATCTATATAGGACCTTTCAACTACAACCGCTAGACCAACGAGGCAGACGATTATTATTACGAAGAATACTACTTGTGACATAGTTAAAATAAATGCCTTTGCCTCACGAACTTTTGATTTAGATTTACATGGGCCTTGTTTACAGACAAATGAGCCCACCATCTATTGATGGAATATTCCAAAAACATATATTTTTGCGGTTATTACAATTTTTTGTTGCTGAGATCATGCCTATTTCCTCAGCAAAACAAATAATACAACAGCTTACTCCCGTGTATGAAGTTTTTGGTACACAGTGACCAAATTCCACATGTCTTTTATCTCTTAGACACATAAATGGCGTTTTACTGGCAGTTCGCAATGATAAAAAAATCGCGGCTCGTCAATGCCTGAGGTTCCTCCAAAACAGACATCTTGAATATTAAACATGAAGCAGCAAAGTCCGTGATGTACGTATCGGATATCCGTGATATACGGATCACAACAGGCAGAAAATAGGTGACTGGAGTAGAAAAGCAAGTAAGTTGTCGTGTAGGTAAGCAATCGGAATCCAAAAGGGAAAAAACTGTTGTGGTCAAAAGCCACAATAATACACTGGAGAGTACAGTGCACACATTCATGAAAGAAAAACAACCAACGGCGGAATTACAGACTACTGAGAGGATACTACGCATGGCGGAATTGGAGAGATTTAGAAGTTGGTAGTTTCCTAATAGATCTACTACCTTTTTAAGTTGGTATAGAGACCTCCCAAATGTGATACACATAATTAATGTTTCTATTGGGTAACAAATATTTCACCTTTTATAAGGAACCGCAAACGAAAGCAGGATCATTGATCAACTCCCAAAATAAAACCCGAAAAAAATAATTGAACATTGAAAAACGAATCGTGATAAATTTAGTATATGTTTAATATATATAGTTATAATATAATAGTTTTAATTATAAATATTCAATTCCTTTATTCGTATAAATAAACTTACTTGAACCCGATGACAATTTTATAGCAGTGATAATTGAGAATTCACTTGAGATTCTATGGTATGTTATAATTAGAATTAATAAATGCAACATTTAGGCATGTCATCTCTGGTTGTTCGACGCTTTCTAACTGAGTACTTGTAGTGTAGCAGCCAGGATTCTCCACCAGAAGTTCGCTCTGAAATACGGGGTCGTCGATCGGAAACTGCCTTACTATAAGTACTTGCCGGAAACCGTGCTCGAAAATGACCTCGTCAGGCTTTACTGGGGCCAGGTCATCATTACGGACATGACTGTTCTTGCAGTTAAGCCTGGTATTGCGCTGATGGGCCGGGCACAGTCAAGGCTATTTTTGGTCGAATATACCATGCCGTATGACAAGAACCTCGTGAAAGCTGAAACAGATAAAAGAACAAAATATCTAGATCTAGTTTACGAGGTGACCAACATGTGGGGTGGTCTGCCGACCGAAATTATTCCTGTAGTCGTCTCTGCAAACGAGTTAATCCCGGCTAGCCTCTCATCTAATCTGAAGAAACTGGGATTCCGCTCCGTTAAGGACCGCTCTGGGCTGAAGTGCAGAAGGCGGTGCTCCTCGATATCGTCCGCTGGTTTCTTTCCATTTCCTCCTAACCCTAAGTAGTGTGGTCTCTTCTGCCGAGGGC